CTTGGAACACAACAAGTCTCACATGAAAGCTCTGAGCCTGGCAGAACACGGCGCTGCAATCTGAATCAAACCAGCAACAACAGGTCAATCGTCCATGACACCTCCTGTTTGCGCCTGACTCCTAATTTATCTAGTAAAATGTCAGTGTGGTTATTTAATTCAATGTAAGAAAACGTAAGTGTTGTTTACTCACAAGCAGCGCTGTGTAAACGATGCCAAACAGTCCACGCAACAAGTTCTGAGTCTGACGGGCACTCCAGCCGTCATCCCGCTCTCTCTTCACTTTTTGTTGATAAATGTAACGAGTGTGGGACTTTAGTTGTGCGTCAGAATTATATTAAGAAGAGTAGATGCTATTATTGGGGGGGGGGCAAATGTTTGTGTGTGTCAACAGATCAACAGACCTTTTAGCACACAAGTTTATCTTCCTAAAAGAAGAGCCAGTACATAATATAGAAACACACCATGAGTAGAATTTGAAATATTTGTGGATAGAATTAATAAAACTAAGATACACATGACACAAGTTCTCTCCAGAAGGTATTAGAGTTCATATAGCATTTAGTGATTGTTATAGTAAGGCAGAAGTCACTCAGGAGGCAGAGTGTTGCTCAGTAACCAGAAGGTTGTAGGTTTAATGCCAGCAACTTGCCCATGCTGGGTCTAAATGGCTACACTGGCAGAGTGTGACTATGTGAGTGCATATATACTAAAAAGTGCTACAGATACCTTGAAAAGTGCCTTATAAATCTGGCCATCAATGTTTTTATTTTTATGAAACCTTAAACGATGTGGAGCCCACACATGCCAGGGTACCGCAGTGAAATGCAACAGCAACCTGAGGGCCCAACAGACATGGATCAGAGGGGCCAAAGGGGGAGCCTGCCCCACCAAAGCCTGAACAGGTGAGTTTGAAGGAGACCACTGAGTCCACTGATCTCAGGCTCAGGGGGAGAGAGGTCCAGTCTGGAGGCAACAGCAGCAGATGATCTGTCACCTTTGACCTTTAGCCTGGTGCTGCACAACCAGTAGGCTTTGATCACTGGACCTCAGGGTTTTGGTGGGATTCACCAATAATTTTTGGCATTATAAAATAAATCCAATTATGCTGTTTGATAATAGACTTTATCTGAGTCTAGAGTCAAAGATAACTGTGTGAAAAACGAGAAGCCCTCCCATTTCTGCTTTTTAGATTTGCTGTATTGTCTGCTAAAACGGTGTCACTGTGCAACAGTTCAGTCCGTTCCCAGTTTATGTTCTCTGTCAGACTGCTTTCCCTCTTGTAATCTGAAGTGACTGATAAGGGGGTGAGATAATATTGAGTTCTGCACATGTCTGGGTTTGAACTACAAAGTAAATAAAATGTGAAGGAGATTGTCCTCAACAATCTTTGGGTTTGATCCCGGCTCATTTCAGGCCCTTCTGCTTCCGAAGCCTCACTATCTTGTGTGTGCGTGAGTCGCTGTGGTTAAAAGCCTCTTTCTGGCTGAAAGTGTTATCCCCTTTGGCCATTTTGTACTTTCAGATTACAAAAGTAAAAAGAATTTAAAAAGTTAGACCAGTAAACAGTCTCATTCAAGCTCGCTGCTATAGGAGTGTTTTTGTCTTGGGGGATCTCATCATTGTTTTATTCAACGTGCAGCTGGCAGAAACAGAAGACTTTACTCACCTATGTAGACAGGCCCGTAGTTTGAGCTGACATTCTCGTCCAGGTACGTGACGCCTAATGTGTAGAGAGGCGTGGCGCCGATGCCGTGCAGGAACTGACCCAGCATGAACACAAAACGGTAACTGGACAGCCCTCCCCCATCCTTTTCCTTGCACAGACTGGTTTGGTTGGTGGGGCACATTCCCAGTTGTTCAGACAGACTGACCAGGTAGGGGGGGTGTCGTGAAATGAGGCAAGGCAAACACCAGAGATCCCAGCGCCATGATGAGTATGCCCCATCCCAGCCAGCGAGGCTTGTGTCCTGTTCCACCAAAGTAGCTGACGAAAGCCAGGCAGATGCAAGCGGCAATGTCATAGGAGCTGGCGATGAGTCCGGCTTCATAGCTGCGAAGGTTGAAGCGTCGCTCAATGGAGGTCACCACTGTGTTGATGAAACCATTGATGATCATCCCCTGGAGAAAAGAGGCCACGCAAAGGAAAAGCAGCACCCAGCATGGGGTGTTGAAAATCTGGATGAATCTGGGCGTCAGAACCCCCCAACCACACAGCTGACCTGAGTCATTAGAGACCTGTGTTAACCCCAAGTAAGTCTCTGCAAATGGCTGCATGTCTGCTCCATATACCTGCCCGGGGAGCAGAGTAGCTCTAGTGGAAATCTGGGGACTAATAGGGTCCTCTGCTCCTGGCCTGTTTGAGCTTCTTGGACCAGAACCCACAGGGCTTCCTGTCTGGGGGTCCACAGGACTGTCCAAACAGTTACCCCCATCTGGAAGGCAGTCCTGCAAGTCCAGGAGCTTCTGTTTGGAGTTGAAAGAGGAGTTAGCATGAAGCAGCACTGACATCCCAGCTCCTGAGAAGTACCCGAGAGGATCTATGATCTTATATGATGTTCTGGTTGAGCCTGAGTCTCCTCTTGGTTTATAACCCACTCCTCTTGAGTCTGTTGAGCTGAATACGGATTCTTCAGAGTGTTTATCTGTTCAAATGGTAAAAGATGGTGAAACAAACCACAGCAATGGCATCCTGGGAAAGGAAAAAAGGAACCTGATGAAGTTCAACACAGCCATTACGATAATGATGCCTGTCAGCCTGAATGGATGACTCAACAACACATACAGCATTGTAACGTGAGGAAATATGGGTTTTCTGTGCCAAAGGTTGTACTTGGCCCGGCTGGGTCAGAGCTGGGTCGCTCAGAACTTTAACCCACAGATTAAGACCTTTGCCGACATGAAGTCTGCAAGAGTCTGCTGCAAACCATAACATCTGCCACCTGCAGTGCCAGAAGATGTTGTTCTCATGAAAGCTATTCATAATAAAAGAGTCTTACGCTTCCTTTGTTTATTAATGCTAAATAATCATTTTACCATTTTACTCATTATAAATGTATTTTAATCAAATGAATTATTATTATGCTTTGGGTAATCATAATAACTATAATGAATCAATACTTAATTAAATAATTTTTGAAGATGTTATAATGACCTTCACACACACACACACTCACAGTAAACTCCAAAACACATTTGCTCTGACGCACGTTTGCTTTGAGAAGAGAAAGGCTTTTGGTAAGTAAGTGTTCATGATTCAGTTCGGTGTTTGACAACGAGAGAGAGAGGACGTGTGAACAACCGCTAACGGGGGAACGGGGCTGCGGCTCCTTTCTCCCCCCCCCCTCACGCTGTTCCTGCCAAGCCAGACAGGATAGCTGAATTGCAACCGCTAACGCAGACTCGTTCAGAGTCTTTGATTTTCGGAGTAATTTAAACTTAAGAAAGCGCATCTGCAAACGCTTCAACAACGTGTACCGAGGGCAACTCTGAACCGGGTCGCCAGCACACCTCCGTCTCCTCTGCCAGCCAAGGTGTCATCTGGAGTACCACACTCCCGGGTCCCGGATCTTTTTTTTTTTTTTTTTTTTTTTTACCGTGTCCTGTCTGGCTGTGAAGCAAACAGAATTGATGTCTGAATGCTGGTGACAAGCCTTACAGATTTACTCTCAGGTGGATAATCAAAGCGTTTGCTTTTAATGTCACGCCTGATACTTAAAACTTTATTGTTATTGTTGTTGAATGCTTTATAATTCCGACCAGACACGGAGACAGAGGTGAAAGAGAAAGTAAAAGAAAAGGTGGTGGTGGGGGGGGGGGGGGGGGTTCCACAAAAATAAACAATGAACAAGAGTCTGCTTCTAGACCTGCAGAAAGAGACAAAAAAACAAAAGGACAAAAAAAGGGACACAACAACAATACAACAAGATCTAGCTGTCACTGCGTCAACTTGATGAAAAAAATATATAATCAACATTGTTTAACTGAAGAATCACGATAATAAATCACAGTGCATTAAGTGCCCACCATAGTCTTAAGACATGTGTTGAACGTGCCCAAGCCCATACTTATGAGAGCACCATGAGAGCACCTGTGTGTGTACACGCGCTTGTTTATGTAAGGTTTCTCTATAGGAGCGTCCAACAGAGTGTGTGAGGGGCCACAGATCCGCCCCCCAAAGATGTGTAGGAGATGGGGGGAGCTCCAAGTCCCAGAGATCCAGGCGCTGCCCCAGAGCACAGGAACCCCAAGGAGACTGCAACCAGAAAGGCCCCCGCCCCCCTCGAGAGGCACAGAGGATCGCCCCGGGGGGCCACAACCAGCAGCCAGCAAAGTCCCGGATCTAAAAGAGGGTCCGAATACGGTGAGGCAGTCCACGACAGATAGCGTTTGATGCATCTTTTCCAACGAAACCTAAGTTTATTCAAACCATCACTTTTCACTCAGACACCTGTTTCTTCCTGAAGCAAAATCAGAAGCTTCTTAAAACTATAACATTTGGTTATTAATTTATTAAAAATTAATATCTCAAATTTATATGTAGGATGGTTCATCTTTCATAAAAGAGCATAAACCATTACACTACATAATTGGCATCTACAGACCTCGCCCTAACACCCCAGCTTCCACCTTTCCTACAAACAACATGTCATGTAAAACAGCATCTCATTAATCAAAAACTTGGTTTTGATCTGCAAAATCTATCATTTTTACATTAATATAAACTGAAACTGTATTCAATAATGTGCATAATTTATGTCATTTTGTAATGGGAGGAAGGATACAGGCAGAGAAATTATGTCCCTGGAAATTGAGGGTTGCACGTTCAAGCACCATTCAGTCTGTCACAATTTGTGTCCTTGAGCAAGACACCTCACCGGTGCTGCTTCTTAGTGTGCCCCAGAGCTGCTGTGGCTATGATGTAGCTCAGCACCACCCGTGTGTGCATGTGTGTGTGACTGTTGTGTTGTAAAGCACCTTGGGGGGGTCATAGGACTGTAGTAGGAGCTATGTAAACACAGACCATTTACCAATCCATGGATTATATTAAATAGGTTCATTTTGTTTTTTAATCAACTAATATTACTTTTTTTTATCCAAAGGGTTCAGATGAAGGCAGCTGGACTTCTTTAGCTTCTTGAAGACGTTTCACTTCTCATCCGAGGAGCTTTGTTAATTCTGACTGGAATATGGGAGAGTCCATTTAAGAAGCTGTAGCTGTTTAACGAGCAGAAACTACTCTGAGTACCCCTCCTCTCCATCCCCTGATCAGTCGTTGTGTTGATTAGACACAGGAAGGTGCAAGCTAGACTGAAGCTGCTCAGGAATGAGATTCAAAGCTGCATTATAGGTTCTGGACAGGTGAACTCTAAGCCCCTCCCCTTTTTAAAGTGGGTTTTTCCCATCTGACATAACACCAGGAAGCTACAGCTTATAAGCTTGACTCTCCCATATTCCAGTTAGGATTGACTAAACTCCTCAGATGAGAGGAGAAACGTCCAGCTGCCTTCATTTGAGCCCTTTTGGACTACCGTGAGCTGGATGACTGAGAACCTTCACCAGCATAACGTTTTCAGGAAGACCGACAGTTAGATGACGCTCTGAGGAAGACTGAAGTGTGCAATAGAAACTGTGAGCTGGTTGAAATTAATCTGACACAAGCAATCAAAAATGAAGTGAGTCAGAAATGTGCAAAGATAAACAACCGGAACAATCACAAGTACGTGACAGCACATAACGAGCTGGAAGAATGATTACGATCCCAAGAGTTTACGGGATAAGAAGAAAACTTCATTCCCAGATATAAAGATCAGTGAACAGCTGACTATATAACAGAATGATTCTAGACAGAAAGTGTGGATGTGCTGACAGAAGGCCTCCTAAAACTCGGATGTGGAACAAAATATTACAAACTTGACATGTTGCAGGTGGAAATAGTTTGTTTACATTACAGCGTTTGTATGAACCTACAGTCTTTAACACTTTAACAGCTTTAAGCACCAACAGTAAGAATCATCGTCCTGATCTGTGTTTTCCTACCTCCAGTCCTTCCATCCTTAACAAACCGGTTTGCTGATGAAGTGAGAGAAAGCTTTCACTGCTGCTGCCAAGCTTGTCTCTCAAAGCCTCTTATAGGCTAATGCCAGGCGGCACAGCGGCACATTCAGCCCGCCTCCCTGCCCCCATCTGTGGGAGGGGTGGCCAGGAGAAGGAGGAGGGAGCATCTAGCAAACACAATCCACCCGAAAGCTAACAGCTGGAGACAAAGCTAAGGTTTCAGCTCGTTTTGTAATCCGTTCTTGTCTGTGAGTGTGGTGAAAACGAAGCGAACAGCGTTTCTTGTTCTTGGTACATGAAGTCAATGTTCTCTTCACTGAACAGCAGAAACAAATGAGCCATCATGAGTAAAAACAGTGTTATCTTATCTAGAGTCATGCCCTGATGGGCCAAAGCCATGTTCCCAAGCTGCACTGCTGCTGCCTGCATGTGGAACAAACATCGTGTCCAAAAGTACTAAACAACTTTTATGAGTCATATGAATCCAACATTTTCAGTCATTGTCTCTATTGTTGTTTTATTTTACTCGTTTGCCACAAATTGCAGTTTTTGATCATCATTTTTTATTATCAAAAATATTTGCAAAAAATATTCAAATATCCACTTAAATTCACCTGATAACTGAAGGTTTTCATCATCATCATCATCATCAACATCATTCAGCTGCAGGAACATGAGGTTGTGAGTCTGAACAGCGGATCTGTATCTGACAAATAAATTTAAAGGACAAGTCAGCAGTAACTCATAATCAATGGGAATAACGAGGTTTGGGAGGAAAGCCGAAGTACAAAATCCAATTTAAAACTTAACTTAAAGAGACAATATTTAGTTTTACCATTCATGTATGGAAATATCCATCAAAATGTTGTTGAAAATGGATGAAATGATGTCCAGTTGTTGAAAAATATTGATGACTTCGTAACATATAACCATGAAAATCAGGTCTAAAATACATGGAATCGGGTCTAAGTCTCTGGCTTTTTGACCCTAGTGAGCATCCGTTGGTAAGGTCTTACTCCAACACAAAAATACTGCTTGTAGCAATGATTTGGGTATCTACTGCCCCCATCGCCAGAAAAAAATACACACTGTCCCTTTAATGATCAGGCCGACAGATAATATTAAGCCTCGTTTCCAGCCCTATGGAAGTGTGTGCACAAGAGTGTACGTGTGTGGGTGGATTATTATCAGGTGATGATCAGCGGTGGGCGTGGCCTAAAACCAGACTACTCTCCTAACAATGCTCTACAGTGAGGTTCCTGTCACAGTTTGTTGTTTTGGAGCCACATGGATACACATTCTCACCAAGTTTGCTCTTTGTTGTTTTAATCACGTCCGGTTCCCCGTCTTGCTTCTCCTCATGAGCCCAGATCAGAGAGAGAAGTTGAACTATTAATAATCAGGGTCCTTTATCTCTGTTTGCCTTGGAATTGGGAGGGGTTTCCTCCCAGTGGAACACAAAAGGTGTTTGAAGTGAGAAACGGCTCAAGATCAAGCCCAAGCTGACAATCTTAAATAAATAAAACTAACTTTTTTTTTCTTGAAAAGCTCTTGTTCTGGGGATGCTTGGTCGGTCACCTGGACTGTG